GAGTTTTTAACCTTTAAAAAAGATCTCCACTTCTTTTTAGAATATATTGTTCCTTACAGAAAGACTCATTGTTTTTGCTACTAACGCTGAGATGTTGGCACATGCGTCTCTAATCTGTATGTATTTGATTATTACTAGTCATAATTGGTTGCACTTGGATCCTTGGTGCCTGTGTATGTCTATAAAGTCATCAGGCAGATTTCAATGGTATTGTTTATCACCTCTACTAATTAGCACGATGTAAACTTCCATGCTTCCTCCTCAAATATAATACATTTTTTTAATTTGTTGATTTTTTGTATGTTCGTGAATGTCACACAGAACATCCCAAACCATCTTATTTGACTACACACCCACTTCCCAGATGGCAACCTCCCATAGCCTCCCTCCCCCCACTAGAGCCCTTATACTCTGATATCCCTGCTACTGTCTGCTGTGTTGTTGGCACCCCCAACCGTTCCCCACTACTTGTCATTTGGTGAATCTAGTCCACCTATCTAGAGGTCTTTGTTTTAGGAGGGTCAGCTGTTCCTCATCTAGCAGCAATCAATTGTCAATATTCCTTTAGATAAGATTGGGGACTGCTGTTCATTTTCCCAGTTCTATGCTGGGTTACTATCTGGGAGTCCCTTTGGCCACCCTGGCCAACAACCGAAAAGAAGGTATCTAGTATCTGGCATTGTTGCTTGTTATGTAGCCTTTAGCTATACATATGGACTCTTAAAAAATTATATTGTCCCCATGGAAATTTATGTCATGTTAATTAGTAGAGGTGATAAACATTACCATTGAAATCTACCCACTGACTTTATAGACATACATAGACACCAAGGATCCATGTGCAACCGAATATGACTAGTAATAGTTACATACAGATTAGAGATGCATACACCAACATCTCAGTGTTAGTAGCAAAAACAATGAATCTTTCTGCAAAGAACAATATATTCTAAAATGAAATGGAGATCTTTTTTAAAGGTTAAAAACTCATTCAATTTTATGTCTTACAGGGCTTATACTGAGTTCAATATTGTATAACTGTATTAACTGTGAACCTCAAAATTTACAGCTAATTTTGAAAGAGAAGCATCTTTGCTCTGGAAATTGTTATTGAATATGTTAATGCTGTAATGAAGATAGTTATTCAACATTTTTAAAAAGATTTAAAAAATTATGTTGGCCCCTTTAATCTTTGGTTATATTTTCCTTTTGGGTGTTTAAGACCCTACAGTTGGCCCAGATAAACCAATTTATTTAACTTATATGGATGTTCAAGGATCTGTTCCTCAGGGGTCACATGGGCTTGGGAGGAGCCCCTGGCTCCTTTCTTTTTCCAGTTCCGCCTATGTGAGGATAAGTCAAAGGTCCTGCTCAACCATGGTTGGCTTCGCTTGGAAGCATGGAGGAAATGATTCCTCTGAGTCGACCTAGGTGGGCAAGGAGCAAAAACTGTCCCTTATGTCTCTCTGACCAAATTATTATAGGCCTCAAAGTATATCTGTTAAACATCTAAGAAGGTTAGTTCCACCAGTCTGGTACTTTTAATTACTGTATGTCATGTAGATAAATCTTGGGAAAAGACTGATTGTTCTCAGATAAACTTTACCTAGACATATATTTCTTGATCTGTTATGTATAATTTGTCAGTAGGTTGTTGGAGTAATATGGTTCCCTCTGGTTTTTAAAACTAGCTAGGCATTATTTATCTCTCACATTTATCTCTCCCTCATGGTTTCCCCAATTAAGGTGCCCCCATTTTCCTCCTTTCTCCCTTAATAATACCCTTCTCCTACAGTCCTACCTCTCTTGAGCTCCTTCTTTTCCTTTATCCCCTAGGTTCCTTGTATACCCTTCCCTCCCCCCTCCCCTTAAAATAACCCCATTTTTATCCATATTACCTTTATTAAGGCCTGTTTCCTACTGTTCTTCTCTTTTAGATTCTTTCTTTTCCTTTACCTTCCTGGTTCCTTTTCATTATCCTGGTTCCTGTAGTTATGTCTGGATACATACTCACTTATCAGGATTTGTTGCTAGGATCTACATATGAGGAAGAACATATGTCTTTTTTTTCTGAGTCTGTGTTACTTCACTTAGTATAACAGTTTCTAGTTCCATCCATTTACCTGCAAATTTCATGATTTCATCTTTCTTTACTGCTGAATAAAACTCCATTGTATATATGAAACACATTTTCATTATCCACTTGTCAGTTGAGGAACACTTAGGTTGCTTCCATCTCTTAGCTATTGTGAAAAGAGAAGCAACAAACGTGGATGTACAAGTGTCTCTGCAATAGGATGAGTTCTTTGGGTATCTGCTAAGGAGTGGTATAACTGGGTCAAATGGTAGGTTCATTTGTAGTTTTTTAAAAGTTCTGCACACTGCTTTCCATAGGGGTTGTACAAGTTTGCAGGCCCACCAGCAGGGGATGAGTGTTCCCCTTTCCCCACATCCTCTCCAACATTTGGTATCATTTGTTCTCTCAATCTTAGCCAGTGTTGACTGGGGTAAGATGAAGTCTTAAAGTGGTTTTAATTTGCATGTCCCTAATTACTAGTGATGTTGAACACCTTTTAAGATGCTTCTTGGCCATCTTTATTTCTTCTTTTGAGAACTCTCTGTTCAGCTCCTTAGCCCATCTTTTAATTGGGTTACTTCCTTTCTTGATTCTTTGTTTTTTGAGTTCTTTATATATTCTGGATGTTAAACCTCTGTCAGATATGTTGCTGGTGAAGATTTTCTCCCATTCTGTGGGTCTCTCTTCATTTCTTTGGTTACTTCTTTTGATGTACAGAAGCTTTTTAGTTTAATGAGGTCCCATTTGTTGATTTTTAAAAACTGAAGTCAGAGTCTTGAAGAGAGATGTGTGCCTCCCTTGTTTATAGTCCTATTACCAACTGTTGCCCAAATGTGGAAGCAACTCAAATGTCCACCCACAGATGCATGGAAAAACAAAATTTGGTGTGTAATGCGATGGGATGTTATTTATCCTTATAAGAGAAGGAAACCATGGGGCTGGAAAGATGACTCAGTGGCCGCTCTTGTGGAGGATCTGAGTATAGTTCCCAGCACCCACATGACACCTAACAACTGTCTTTAACTCCAGTTTCAGGGGATCAGACACTCTCTTCTGGCACCTGAGGTCATTGCATGCATATGGTGCACTTACATACAGTCAGGCAAAATACTTATACACATAAACTAAGAATTTAAAAAAATAAAGAAGGAGACCCTGAAATGTGTGACAATATGACTGGACCTGGAGAATCATGCTAAGTGAGACACTTGGAGGTGAGGAATATGTTTATGGCCTGACTCATCAGTTAAGTTGTTTATGGACTGACTCATCAGATAAGTTAAATATTTATAACCTTTTGTATGTCAGTCTACCTCAGTAAAGTCGTTTGAAAATAAAGAAATGAAAGGCTATAAAGAAATAAAATAATGTACCCAAAGAAACCTTGTATTGAATTCTTTTATTCTATCCTTCTATGAGTATTTTATTGAACTTCTTCTAGTCATTTTTCAAGAAGTATTTTACATGTGTATATGTTAGAACAAGTGTCTATGTATGTGATTTGTGCATTTTGTTAAATGAGTTTGTTTCAAATGGCACTCTTTGTGGGTTGAACGGTGTGGTGTTCAAATGATAATGTGCTCTTCATGTTGATGCTAGTAATGCTGAAATTGATGGTATGTTTTAGTTTTCTGTTAGATCTGGGTTCTTTCTTGTAGCTATTGATTTGGCCATGAATGGCCAAAGCTGATGTGTATATGTGAGTCTAACAGAATGGACTTCATCCCAGTGAAGACCATTTGTCGATTCTTTGTTCTGAGGTCCCCTCCCCATGTAACCTTCACCCCTTTGAGTTCGTTATAACAAAGAGTGAATATTTATGTGACCTGTTTTGAGTCATAGACCAAATGGAAATAAAAAGATGCAGTGTATGATGTTCTTTTTGTTCAAACTTTTTATTGAATTTTTGTGTATTTCCTACAGAACATCCCAATCAGTCTTAATCATCTTTATAATGATGTTCTTAATATGTGTTTCATTTTCTTTCTTTGTTTTCCAGAAAGTATTTCGGAGAAAAAATTGGACTGTATTTTGCTTGGCTGGGGTTATATACTTCATTCCTTATCCCGTCTTCTGTAACTGGAGTGATTGTCTTTCTTTATGGATGTGCAACAATCGAAGAAGATATTCCCAGGTAAGTCACTTTAAAAGAAAAGGTTATGTTCCCACACAGTAGTAGTTTGAAGTTTTACCCACACATAAGACCCCACCCTCTGCCCTCCTTCCCTTCCCAAACACATGTGACTTCCCTCCAGAGATGGCTCTGGGATCCATGGGTTCTGGGATGACCGCAGAGTCATGCTAACCAGGGTCGTCTTCCATCCCTAGTCAAGCTGCTCCCTGGGGCCAG